GCCTTCAAGTTTAGGTCTGCTTCTTTTTGTGAATTTTATGTGTCTTTGTGGTTTACTTTTTGGGCATGAAAGGCTGGTTCCTCTAAGCTTCCAGTTCTCTCTTTTGATTTTATATTGGAGTGGCCAGATTGCTTTTGTCTTCAGGAGTTCCCACAGAGGCCCAAGTCAGATGCTTTCAGGCATCCTAAGGTCTGGATCTCTCCAGGAGAGATTTTGGCCTCAGGAATTTGGGGGTTGAACTGGACTGGCCTGGGAGCCCGGCCCAGGAAGATGCTGGTCTAGGGCAGCTGGTGGCCATGACACCCAGAGATATAAAGCGAGATGGGGGTGGGAAGAGGTCCCAAGGGCTCCTGGGGAAGGAAGGGCTCCAGGAAGAGGTCCCAAGGGCACTGAGGAACTGGTTTGGTCTGGATGCAAAGGATCAGGAAGAGGAAAGGTAAGCCCTGGCATCCAGAAAGAGGCTGGTGGGTAGTGCAGCCCAGGGAAGCAGAGGGAGGTGGGGAAGGACCAGGCCCTGAGGGCTCCCAGGAGAGAGGCTGATGGGTTGTGCAGACCAGGGAAGTGGAGGGAGGTGAGGGTGGGGCTAGGCCCAGAGTGCTTCTGGGGACCCTAGAAGGAACTGGGTTGGTCTGGATGCAAAGGATCAGGAAGCAGTGGTGGTTTCCTCCAGTGTCTGGGGCGCCATGACAAGGAATGGGACAGGACCCAGGCTATAAGGAGAGACAGGTGGGGGAGATGGGAGGATGAATGAGGCTGGGGGAGTCAAGGTGCTGGGAGGCGCAATCGACTTACCCTGGAGAGAGGCCTGCGGGTGGTGCAGGCCCAGGGAAGCAGAGGCTTTTTATATTTTTTATTTTTATTTTATGTGGAAGAGTGTTTTCCCTGCTTTTAAGTGCACCACATGTATTCAGTGCCCGAGGAAGCCAAAAGATGGCATTGGATCCCTTGGAACTGGGATTAGAGGCAGTTAATAGCTGCCCTGTGTGTGCTGGGACCTGACCCTGGGTCCTCTGCAAGAGCAGCCAGTGCTCTTAACCTCTGAGCCATCTCTTCAGTTCTTGTCTGTTTTAATTCTTTTGTAACCATATACAATATTTTGCTGAACATAGATGTCACTAAATTGTATGTATTATAGCACAATCAGAACTCTTTCTTCAGTTGTGTTGGTTGAAGCTCCGTGTGCAGAGCAGAGCATTAAGTCCCTTTTCATTCCCCTCTCCACAGTAGGAACCACAGTAACTAGATCTGTGTGTATTCTTCAAGCCCCCATTCTATCAAGTTGTGGTTGAGTATTTATGCCAGTATGGTTGTGTATTGTTTAGCTAAATTTTCTGTGTTAGTACAAATTTCTAGAAGTATATTAAATAGGTCCAAGGGTAATACATTTTGGGGCTAGTGATGTAGCTAGTTGGTAAAGTCCTTGCCAGCATGCATGAAGCCTTGGGTCTGATCCCCAGAACTGTATAAACTAAGTAATAGTAATACATGAAAATTTTTTCCCAAGTACTTTTTAAAGATTTATTGATTTAATTTATGTGTGTATATATATTTCCCTCTTGAGAGTTTGTGTTCCACATCTGTGCAGGAGTCCTTGGAGGCCAGAAGGGGGCACATGATCCCCTGGAGCTAAAGTTACAAATGGTTGCGAGCTGCTGGACTGGGTACTGGAAACCAAACATGGGTCCTCTGCAAGAGCAGTGTGCTCTTAACTGCTGAGCCATCTCTCCAACCTCTAGTAATAGACTTTTAACTCTTCTGATCTGAATCACCAAATTGCCACCCAGCAAATTGGTGGTAACAGTATATATTCTCTCCCCCAGCGTATGAGGCTATGTGTTTGTGTTTCTTAACTAGACAGTGCTGTCCTTGTTGCAGGTGTACTTGAAAGGGAGGTCTGGAGACAAGATGATTCATGAGAAGAACATCAACCAGCTGAAGAGTGAGGTCCAATACATCCAAGAGGTGGGGATTCCTTCCCTCCGAGGGAGCATCTAGGTTCCCTGAAACTTACATTGTTAGGGTTCCCTTCTTTTATGGGTCTGATGTTTTCCCTTCTGTTCCTTTTATGTTACTATATAAGTGTCCTATGCCCTCCCATGTATAAAATAGCATTTTGACTTTTCAATCCAATTCATTAATCAACAAATATGTATCATGTGCCTAGCAAACTCTCGAGCTATTCATCAGAATTGTCAGCCACTTTCTCCAGCATTTCCCAACTAGAATGTCAGCACTACCTTAGCAGGGGATTCATTTATCTCATTGCTTGTGCAGGAAAGACTGGGCTGTTACCCCACTTTAACTGATTCCTCTGTCATGTATAGAACAATGGCAGACTCAGAGTAAAATGGGTTGGGGATGGGACCCAAAGTTAGTTCACTTTCCCCTGAATCTCAAGTATCTTGTCTTCATCTCCCAGGCCAGGAACTGCCTGCAGAAGCTCCGGGAGGATATAAGTAGCAAGCTTGACAGGAATCCAGGAGACCCTTTGCATCGACAGGAGATACAGGTAATAGGGAGTGCTGACCAGACCCACAGGAAGGAGGAGTGTATAGGGATGTGACTTTGCTGAGAGCTCACAGACAGGCTCCCAGCATGATGGCACTTGTATTTGCAAATATAACCTACATATAATTACACCTGCTCCTGAAAATGCACAAAATTGAATTACATAAATGATTGTAAGTTATTAACAAAACCTGTCTACAAGGATTCTGTGATTAATTATGCAGTAATTTTAGAGACTTACATAGACAATCACTTATGAATCTAAACTTCTCATAAGTTGATATTGCAAAACTTGGTAAACCACTGAAATGGACGTCTTTTTTTTTTTTTTTTTTTTTTTTTTTTGGTCTTTTTGAGACAGGATCTCTTTGTAGCCCCCAGCTGGCCTGGAACTTGCTATATAGACCAGGCTGGCCTTGAACTCACAGAGATCTGCCTGCCTTTGCCTCCTGAGTGTTCGGATCAAAGGTGTATACCACTGTACCCAGCTCATAAGTCTTTTATTAAAAAAAAAAAAGATTTATTATTTTTTATGTTATTTTATGTGTGTGAGTGTTTGCCTACATGTATATATGTATATATATACCACATGTATGCCTAGTGCCCACAGAGGCCAGAAGAGAAACTGGTTAGTTGTGAGCTGCCATATGGGTGCTGGGAACTGGACCTCTGTAAGAGCAACCATTGAGCCATCTTTCTATCCCCCAAAAGGAAGTCTTTGATCCAGCATGTTGTTTGTGTATACAGCTAAAATTCCTTGAGGCTAGAGGAATTAGCTAGACCTCATCCCTGTGCCCTTAGCCTGGCCTAGGATGTGGGATGCAGAGGTATCAGTAATGTAGGACCAAATACTATCTATGTAAATCTTCCCCAGGATGGATAGTGTGGGAGTTTTCTTTCCAGCTTTTCCATAGTCCCGATAGAAATGTCCTCACGAGAACAGAGCAATCCCTTCCTGATGTCCCCCTCAGGCTCTTTTAGAACCAAGTTCTGTCTCCTTCATTTGCACTTTGACTTGAGTTAGGTAGTATTTCCTACCTAGCAGCTGGTGCCCAAAGGTTTCCTCTTTGTCTTATCTGTACCTTGGGTTTTGTGTGGTGGACATTTCCGAATTCATTTTGCTTCGGCTGACGGCAGGACTTTCGGGGCCTGACCTCAAACCTGGCTGGTGGAAAGCACCTTCAGGTGGCACCAGAACTTCATGTGTTTAGAAATAGGCCACAAAGCCCAGGAGTCATGTGATGAGTGATCTAGCTTTGGGTTAGAAAGAAATGCAACAAAAGCTGCTTCCTGTTTTGACTTATGCTTTGCCAGACTTTGTCAGGATGCCCATGGCAAGGAAAGCTTGTGTCAGGCCGCTGCCTTTGTTCCTAGGAGAAATGAGCCTCACACATTTCCAGTTTGCTAAAAGGGTTTAGCCGGAGGTTTGTTCCATTCTCCCACAGGGTTAGTTCCCTCAAGGCTGTTTTGCCACCCCTCTAGTTTTCTCATGGAGTCCTGGAAACCTTTTTCTCCCTCCTTCCCATTCTCTGGTCCTCTCTTCCTCTTTATCCTCCCACCCCCATTTCTCTTCCTTCTTGCTTCATTCCCTCCTTTTCCTTTTTCATTCTCTACAAGATTTCATGTGGAAGACTTGTTTTTCAAGACAGGGTCTCACTATGTAGCCTTAACTGGCCTGGAACTCACTATATAGATCATACTGGCCTTAGAGGTGTGCGCCACACACCTGGCAAGATTTTTTAAAATTATAATTATAATAATAATTATTATTATTTGTGTGTGTGTGTGTGTGTGTGTGTGTGTATGAGTGCTTATGCCATGACACGTGTGGAGGTCAGAGGACAACTTGCAGGAATTGGTTCTTTGCTACCATGTGGATTTTGGGGATTGAACTCAAGTTATCAGCCTAGGTGGCAAGTGCTCTTACCCTCTGAGTCATCTTGCTGGCCCGCCTTATAAGATTTGACATTGAAATATAATATTTCAAAGTTATTTGGTTAAATTGTTTAAATTCCTGATTTTATTTTTCTTTAAACAGGTGGTATTAGAAAAGCCAAATGGCTTTATTCAGGATCCCACAACCCTGTATAACAGCCCATCTGAGGTAGGTAACAGAGGGGACACCATGGTGAACACTGCCTATCCACAGGCCAGGATCTGCCTGCCCCCGACCCCAGTATTTATTTTGTATAAAAATACAACGTAGGGGTTGGAGAGATGGTTCAGCTGTTAAGAGCACTGACTGCTCTTGCAGAGGACCCAGGTTTGATTCCCAGCACCCACATGGCGGCTTGGAACCATCCTTAACTCCAGTTCCAGGAGAATCTGAAGCCCCCTTCTGACTTCCGTGGCACTGCACGTCATGGGTGCACTCACATACATGCAGGCACTCATACACATAAAATAAAAATAAATAAATAAAATATTTTTTTAAATACAATATAAAATAGACATAAAAAGTAGAAATTCTCCAAGCTCACTGCTTAGAACTAGCCACTGTTGACAGACTGAAGTGGGTGGACCCTTCTACATCAATATCTCTGCTTGGCTGTCCCTGGGAGTGACCTTAAGAACTTTGAAGGAGATGATGCCTTGGTTTCTGTAGATGAAGATAATTGTTCTGAGTTGTGACCTGGGCATTGGGACTTTTAAAAGCTCTTCAAGTGGGGCTGGAGAGATGGCTCAGTGGTTAAGAGCACTGAATACTCTTGCAGAGGACCCAGGTTCGATTCCTAGCACCTACATGGCAGCTACAAACCGTTCTTAACTCCAGTTCCAGGGAATCCGAAGCTCTTTTCTGACCTTCACGGCATTGCAGGACACGAGTGCACTCACATGCATGCAGGCAATACACTCATACACATAAAATAAAAATAATAATAAAAATAAAATATTTTAAAAAAAAGCTCTTCAAGTGATTCAAATGTTTAGCCAAAGTTGAGTACCATTATTTTCTATTCACAGATACTCATTTGAATGCTAAATGTTTATTAAATATACTATCTATTCCTGCATAAGTAAACATGTAATATGTACATACTTTTCTCAAAGTCGAGGTCATGTTAAATACATTATTCCTTGCTCACTTCCCTCACTTGCATGCTAAGAAAGTGCTTTTACCACTGAGCTACATCCCCAGTCTCCTTCCTTGCTTCTAATTTTATAAATAGAAGAATAACTTCATTCTTTTGTATTGCATGGTATGTCCTTCCATTGCTGTACATTTAAAAAATGATACTTGTTGGGGCTGGAGAGATGGCTCAGTGGTTAAGAGCCAGTGCTTTCGCAGAGTACCTGGGTTCGATTCCCAGCACTCACACAGCAGCTAACAACCTTTCGTAACTCCAGTTCCAAGGGATTCAATGCCCTCTTCTAACCTCCGCATTGCATGGGTACACTTACATACATACAGGCAATTCACTCATACACATTAAATTAAAATAATAAAATAAAATATCTTTTTAAAAATGATACTTGTTGCCGGGTGTTGTGGGTGACCCATGCCTTTAATCCCAGCATTCAGAAGGCAGAGGCAGGTACATCTCTGTGAGATCAGGACCAGCTTAGTCTACATAGGAAGTTCCAGGCCAGCTGGAGTACAGGTAGACCCAATATCAAAAAGACACACACACAAAAAGAGAAGTTACTTTTTGTGATTATATAATAAGATATTCTTACTATAGGAAATTTAGGAGTATGGAAAATTGAGAAGAGTAACTGTAATTTTAATCTCCCTCTCAGTGGCAGCAGGAAGACACAGCCCAGTACTGGTGTCAGTAAGCAGCCTGAGGAGTTTGTCTCCACTATGCCGAAGAAAAAAATTCCAGGACTGGTCAGAGTAAAACAGAGACATAGAGTTTATTAAGTAAAATAAGCAATAGTACACATTTTAGATTTAAGCATGGGCATTGAGAAAGAGAGAGGAGAGAGAGAAAGAGAGAGAGAGAGAGAGAGAGAGAGAGAGAGAGAGAGAGAGAGAGAGAGAGGCAGGCTTAGGAAAAGGAGAGCACACACAGAAGTGCTGGCTTCCCTAAAGTGACAGTTGCACTTAGGTGTCTTTACAGCAGCCATGTATATGATTTTGTGGCTTTCCAAGTTACATTACTCAAAGGATAATTATTCAAAGGATATAATTAGCAACTAGTTTTAAAGATTAAGCAAAATGGGACTGGAGGGATGACTCAGCAGTTAAGAGCACTGGCTGCTCTTGCAGATGACCTGGGTTCAGTTCCCAGCACCCACATGGTGATGAACAACTGTCTGTAGCTCTAGTTCCAGGGCATCTGATGCCCTCTTCTAGCCTCTGTGAGAATTGCACACACATGGCACCTTTATATACATGTAGGCAAAACATTTATCATACACATAAAATAAAAATAAACTTTAAAAATTCTTATAAAGATTAAGCAAAGCTTAAGCCAAGTTATGGTGACACATGCCTTTAGTCCCAACAATTGGGAGGCGGGTGAATCTGTGAGATTAAGGCCAGCCTGGTCTCGGTAGGGAGTTCCAAGCCAGTTGGGGCTATAGTGAGACCCTGTCTTTAAAAAAAAAAAAAATTTAAGCTTAAATCTTAAGTAAAGTTTAAAAATTAAGTCTATGAGCTGGTTCTCATCTTAAAGAATTTCCTTTTGTAAATGAAATTGTAAGGTGGTTTAAATTTTTTCATGCATTTATTTATATTTGTGTGTGTGTGTTGTGTGTGTGTGTGTACACAAATGCCACAGCACATGTGTGGAGGTCAGGAGACAAGAGAGTTGGTTCTCTCCTTCCACTATGTAGGTGTAGGTCACAGAAATTGAACTCAGGTCATCAGATTTGGGAACAAACATCTTTACCCAATGAGCCGTTTTGTCGTTCTGACTCTTAAGTATGCTTAATGCATTGTTTTTAACATCCTCATGTAAACTATGCCTAGGGAAAGGGAATATTTCCATAATCAACCTTTGCTCAATCAGTTGTGTTCCAGTTTCTGTCTTCCTAGCCAGATTCCAGAATGAGGTATTTCTTTCCCTCCCTCTGGCCTTTATTTTTTTCTCTCCTGCCTCATCTCCACAGGGGGGTGGAGGGAATACACTTTGGTGAAATTTTCTTTGTCTTTTTTGTCAATGCAAATATACAATGCAGTATTGAGATTGCACCTTTAGCATATTTCTTTCTATTTCTTTAGCGCATTTCTTTAATTTCTTTGGTTGGGTTTTTTAGTTTTGTTTTTGAGGGGAGCTGTTTGGTGCTGAGGACTGAACCCAGGGCTCTTCAAAGTTAAGTATGACCTCTACCACCAAGTTACACACTTAGCCCCAAGGGTAATTTTGTGTTTTGGGTGCTTTTGGCCTTCATGTGTAGAATTTAATCGTATCTACCCATTAGTCATGGCTCATCATCACGGCCCCACGGCCTCTCACTAGCTGTGCTGTTCTTCTTCTTCCCACCACCAACTCTAAGATACTTAATAGATGGATTCAGATGTGGATGTGAAGTACTTTCAGTTTATATGACGGACTTGTATTATACCTTTTTTCCTTGTTTTTTTCCACTATGTGTTCAAAACTTGTTTTAGGATCTATATACTTTATTGTATTAAGATCTAGTTTGTTGACCCAAGTATGGCGGCACATGCATGTAATCCTAGTACTTGGGAGACTGAGGCAGGAGGATCAATGTTAGTTTGAAATCAGCTTGGGCTGTGTAGCAAGACCCTGTCTCAAAATGAACAAACAAAAATCTAGTTTGTTCTTTCTTCCTCTCACATGTAGTTTTAAAACATTTTTTTTGCTTCATACTGTATTGTGTGATAAAACAATATTTTTTTTCTTTTCTTCCTCAATAGTACTGGAAATTAAACTCAGAGCCTTACATTTGTTAGGCAGACAGTCTGCTACTGAGGTATAGCCTGAACCCCTAAAATACTATTTTCATGAAAAAAAAAAATCTCCATCTTGTCAGATGGTTTTATGAGAATGCTGTTGGAAACACATATGTCATAGATAGACCCAGCATCCCACTGAAAGATTTCACTTGCCTAGCGATGTAAGTGAGGAATGCTAATTTAATTGATGTCTTGATTTTAAGTGTGGTTCTAGTCTTGTTTAGCTTTAAATGTGCAGTTTGGATTTTTCCTTTTCTGTGAATCACCATATTTGGCAAATAAGTTATTGGTAATAAATTATAGTGACACCTAGTAGTGTTTGCTCAGATTCTTCTTATGAGCTCCAAGCCCCGTGTTTGGGATATCTTCCCAACTTTGGAGACAGCCTACAAAGCAGGGTGTGATGAGGAGTCTTCGCCCTGCTCAGACATACAGAAAGGGAGGCCCAGGGACCTGGGAAGACCGTAGAGGCTGGGCAGCTGTCTCCCCACCCCACAGCTGAGAGCCCTATGCTGAGGTGAAAGTCTTACTGCTTCCCACTGTGTAAGACAGAGACAGTGTGCCAGACTCTGAGGGAGGTGTGCAGTGTTTCATGCCTTTGTAGCAGAAATGAGAGCAAGACCCTGCATATCTCTGCTCATCCTTAACCAACAGTCCATGATCGGGTGTGTCTGGGAGGGACACCCAGCAGTAACCTGGATAAGACACCTTTTTTTTTTCATTGACTCAAATTCCTGTGCTTCAAGAATGCTTCTGTAAGCCTGCCCATCCATCGATAGCCCTTTCCATGCTGATTTCTGTGAAGTGCTAAGCACAGTACAAGATACGCCTTTGGGCCCATGTGATAGGCACTGAATAGGCCCTGTCCTTGGCTAGTCCACAAGGAACAAGGTCATTGCTCTCAGAGAGCTCTAATCAGAAACTGATGTCCTGAGGTCCATCTCTGGAACCCACATGGTGGAATGAGAGAACAAACTCCAAGTTGTTAAGACCACCACATGTGTGCTGTGGCATTATTCCCTCAATATGCAAAATAAATAAATGTGAATTTTTTTTCCATGTTTTAAGAGAAACCATTTCATTGACGTGTGCTTAAAATTACTGTCTTAAATAATTGGGTGATTTGAGACTAACTGGTTCCTTAGGAGATGAAGGGAGAATGTTTTATGTGAGTAACTCAGAACTCTTAGTTGTTCTCCCGTGTGATGTTCTTTTCTGAGGGTGGTCTCCACAGATGGCCCAAACCACTGTGTGGCAGGGAAGGGACCTTCTGCCACCAAGTTCCAAATGTGGTGACTTTCCCTTCCTTTCCCTGCTCTGGTTATAGGCGGACACCTACATAAATGAAGATGTCGAGAGCTTGAGGCGGACGGTACAGGACTTGCTTGCCAGGCTGCAGGAGGCTGAGCGGCAACACCAGTCAGACCGTGTGGCTTTTGAGGTGAGATTTGGGGTTTGGAATTTGTGGAGAAGGTGCCTAAGGGATCAGCCCCTGGGTGAGGTGTGGATGACTTTCTCAGCATAGATCTCTTGTTCCTCTGACTGGATGCCAACCAACAGAAAATGCAGTGCTTTGAAGCCTTAGAGACTTCCTGTCTGCCTTTCTTTACCCTGGACATTAAAGTGTTTGCTGTTCAAATTTGGCTGTAGTTCAAAGGTCAGATCATTTTTGGTTTTTCCCTGGCAGTGCTGGGGACAAGGGCCTTGTGCATGCTAGGTGAGTGTTCCACCACTGAGCTAATCCCTAGTCCTTAAAGGTTAGATCTTGATTCTCTGATTCTCTGCTCTACTGAAGCTAAGTAGTAGTTCTGGTCTGGGATAGCAGGTATTTTAGAAGTCATTTCTATATGTAATAAGTAATAAGCATCACTGAATTCAGGGCTCCATGCTGGCAAGGACTGCTGCTATCATGTTCACCACAGAGCCCCCACCCCCACACCCCGTGCCTGGAGTAATGCATGGCATAAGGTAGCTATTTCTCAAATGTGTACTGAAGGAGTGGGTAAATCTGTGTCATCAAGGAAAGACTGGTGCTGGTGGAATCACAAGGTTTTGTGATCTTAGTTTATTGTCATAGTTGATTTTGTTGTTGTTTTGTTTTGAAACAGGGTCTCCCTTTAGCCCAGCTGGCCTAGAACTCACTATGTTGGCCAGACTGGCCTTGATCTTACAGAGATTTGCCTGCCTCTGCTGGGATTAAAGACATGTACCACTATGCCCAACTGTTATTGGTTTTGAGGTAGGGTCTCATGTAGCCCAGGTTGACTTTGAATTCCTGACCCTCTACTAACTGAGTGCTGGGATTATAGGATAATAGGAGCCCTTTGTTTTTTTTAGACTAGGTCTCACTATGTAGTGGGCTGACCTGGAACTTGCTATGTAGACTAGGCTGACCTCTAACTCACAAAAGATTTGCCTGCCTCTGCCTCCTGAGTGCAGCAATTAAAGGCATGCAGGCCCAGCACTTGGAAAGCAGAGGCAGGTGGATCTCTGTGAGATTGAGGCCAGCCTGGTCTGCATAGGGAGTTCAAGACTGGCACGCTCCCCCATATACACACCCCCTTATCTAGTGAGACTTTATTGAAAAAAAGATTGGGAGGTAGGGGCAGGTATATCTTAGAAATATAAGATATTCTTTCGGGGGGGGACAGATTTAATTATATATGTCAGCTTTTGTTTCAAGTATATAGAATGTACTTGTTAACATATACAGCTACTGATATCTGGGATATAATACTAGTATGTATTTTGAATTTTAAGGAAAATATTTCATTCTAAAAGGAAAATATTCAACAAGAAGATTCTTCTTTTTTGTACTGTATGTTTTTCTTAGTGATCAGTTTAACAAGCAGATTTGTAAATAGTTTGACTTAGGATAATTTTTTTTTTTATCTTTTTGAGACAGGGTCTCCCCTGTAGCCCCAGCTGGCCTGGAACTCACCATGTAGATCAGGCTGGCCTCAAACTCACAGAGATCCGCCTGCCTCTGCCTCCCGAGTGCTGGGATTAAAGGTGTGCACCACTACACCAGGCCTGATTTAGGATAATCTTAAGGCTGGTTTGTGAGCAAAGCAACCATTTGGTGAAGGAGTTTGTTATATCCCTTTCAGATGCCACTACTTAGATATTTTGGTTTTTTATATATCAAATAGGTGACCACCTATTTTCTATATTCTCTGAAAAAAAAAAATACAAGGAAATGGTGGTTGAGGCTGTAGCCCTGGCCGGGTTTTGAATTTTGGGCGAAATACACTAAGAAATTGTGGGTGTTGTTCCTTATTATCTCTTTCATTAATTTCTCCCTAATCTTTCTTATTTCTTGCCATCTTCGGCGATTGGGTTGGCTGCTTGTTGTTTTTCAAGAGCCTTGAGGTGCATCATTAGGTTGTTGTCTTGAAGTTTTTGCTGTGAGTACTTCTCTATACAGACTATAAACTTTTCTCTTGGGACACCTTGACTGTGTCCCAGAGGTTCCGATAGGTTGTGTTCTCATTATCATGTCACTAAGAATTTTTAAAATTTCATCTCTAATTTCATGGATTTAGTCTCCAAGTATTTTTGTGGTTTTGTTGTTGTTAATTTCTACTTTTATTCTGTGGTCTAAAAAGATGCAAGGAATCTCAAATTTTTTTTTGTTTTTAATTGAGACTTGCTTTGTGTCCTATGATATGATTGATTTTGGAAAAGGTTCTATGTGGTGCTAAGAAAAAAATGTATATTCTCTATGTTGGGTGGAATGCTCTATGTATGTTGGTTAAAACAAGTTGATCCATATCAACTTGAAAATACTGAAATATTGCCGGTCGTGGTGGTGCACACCATTAATCCCAGCACTTGGGAGACAGAGGCAGGCAGATCTTTGTGAGTTCGAGGCCAGCCTGGTCTACATAGTGAGTTCCAGGACAGCTGGGGCTAAAAGGAGACCCTGTCTCAAAAAGACCAAAAAAAACCCCAAAAAAACTGAAATATATATATTTTAAATATTTTATTACGTTTATTTATGGATCCCCTGGAACTGGAGTTACAGACAGTTATTAGCTGCCATGTGGGTGCTGGGATTTGAACCCGGGTCTTTTGCAAGAACAACCAGTGTTCTTAACTGCTGAGCCATCTCTCCAGCCCCGAAAATACTGAAATATATTTTAGAAAGAGAACAGCACATAAAATTAACCAAACAAGGGGTGGTTCTTTGAAAAAGTAAACAAGATTAACAAATCATTAGCCAATCTTAGGAAAAGAAAGAGGAAGACCCAAATAAACAAAATTAGAGATCAAAGAGGTGTCATCACAACAGACTCCAACAGAGAACATTAGAGACCACTTTGCAAACTCTAAAAAGCTGGAAAACCTAGAGGAAATATAGAATTTCTAAATACTTTTCATGTACCAAAATTAAAACCAGAAGATATTAATACCTTAAACAGACCTATTACACGCAATGAGATAGGAGCTGTAATCAAAAGTCTCACTTCAAAGAAAATCCGACCAGACAGCTTTACCACTGAATTCTATCAGACTTTCAAGGATGGTCTCATACCAGTACCTTGTAACTTGATCCAGAAAGTGAAGGAACACTACCAAATTCATTCTATTAAGCCAATATTCTTTGGATACCAAAACTAGCTAAAGACAGAAAAAAAGAAAGCTATAGTCCAATTTCTTTGATGAATATAGATGCAAAAATACAACCAAAACTTGCAGACCAAATTCAGGAGTACATTAAGATCATATGTTATGACCAAGTGGTCTTCATCCCAGAAAGGCAAAGTTGGTTCAACATATGCAAACCAAATAAATGTAATACATATACCATATGAACACACTAAAGGACAAGGACTGTATAATCATCTTGATTGATGCTGAAAAGGTATTTGACATGCCTTCATGATAAAAATTTTGTGGTGGTGCATGCCTGTAATCCTAGTACTCGGGAGGCAGAGGCAGGAGGATCTCTATAAGATGAAGGCCAGCCTGATCTACATAATGAGTTCCAAACTACCTGTAGCTACAGAAGACCCTGTCTCAAAAAAAAATTTTTTTTTGAGAGGTTAGGAATAGATGGAGCATACCTCAACATTATAAAGGCTATATACAACAAACCTAGAGGCAACATTATATTAAATGGAGTCACAGAGTATTTCCTCTAAAATCAGGAATAAGGCAGGGATGCCTACCTACTGTCCCTCACTTATTTACTAAGGAGCTTGAAGTCTTAGCTATAGCAGTTAGACAAGGGAAAGGCTTTAAGTAGCCTTCTTTTTGTTTTTGTTTTTGTTTTTCTTTTTTGTTTTTAAAAGTTGTCTTCTCATATGCCAACAATATGCTGTCAGAGAAAGAAACTAGGAAAAATATCCCATTCAAAATAGTACCAGAAAATTAAGTTCCTAGCAATACACTTCACCAAAGAAGACAAAGCTCTCTACAATGAAAACTTAAAGATTATGAAAAGGGAGATCAAAGAAGACACTAGACAGTTGAAAGACTTTCCATGCTCCTGGATTGACAGAGACAATATTGTGAAAATGGCTCCACGACCAAAATAACTCTACAGATTTAATGCAATACCTATCAAAATACTAATGGATCTTCTACTAATATTTCACAGAGCTAGAAAAAACAATCTGAGAATTCATATGGAACCATAAAGGCCACACAAATAGCCCATGCAATCCTAAGGAGCAAGAACAGGGCTGGGGCATCACAGTGCCTGACCTCAAATCATGCTATAGAGCTATAGTGATACGGCAGCCCAGTACTGTATGGACAGACAGGTGAAGAGGTGGAGCAGAACAGAGGACCTGAAAATAACCCAGCAAAGCTCAGAACAGAGGACCCAGAAATAAGCAGCAGAACTATATCCACCCAATTTTTGATCAAGATAGGCCAATGAATCGAATAGACAGTTTTCGGAAAAAGAAATACAAATGACCAACAACTGTTTTTAAGTGGTCAGGCTCCCTAGTCATCAGGGAAATGCAAATTAAAACCACTCTGAGAAACCACTTTGCCCCAATCAGAATGGCTATTTTCATGAAATTCAATACCAAATATTAGAGAGGATGTGGAGAAAGAGGAACCCTTAGTCACTGCTGGTAGGAGTGCAAATTAGTACAAGCCATTATGGAAATCCGTTTGGAGGCTCATCAAACTAGAGTTTCCATATGACACAACTATCTCACTTCTGGGCATATGCTCAGAGAACCCTGTATCTCACTATAGAGAGAGTTGTACCTCCATATTCATTGCTGCTCTATTCACCATAGCAAGGAAGTGGAACCAACCTAGCTGTCCATCAACAGATGAATGGATAATGAAAATCTGATGTTTATATATAAAATGGAACGTTATTCAGCTCTAAGGAAAAATGAAATCACAAAATTCACAGCAAAATGGATGGACCTAGAATGTTTAAATTAAGTGAAGTCATGCAATCTCAGACAGTAAAAAACCACATATGGGGATTCTAGCCTAAAATGTATACATGTACATATGTAAGCAAATGCATCTGTGGGTATACAATAATATTTCTGATCAATAGCAAGGAAGGATAATTTGAAAAAGAATATACTTTTTTTTTTTTGTCTTTTTGAGACAGGATCTCCCTGTAGCCCCAGCTGTCCTGGAACTCACCATGTAGACCAGGCTGGCCTCAAACTCATAAAGATCCGCCTGCCTCTGCCTCCCAAGTGCTGGGACTAAAGGTGTGCGACACCATACCCAGCCAAGAATATATGTTTTATGTTTTTTTCATGGTGGATGTGTGAATTCAATTTTCTGCATACTGGCATAGTGGTGCGTGCTTTTAATCCCAGAACTCCAGAGGCAGAGGCAGGCGGATCTCTGTGAGTTCAAGGCCAGCCTGATCTACATAGTGAGCTCTAGGCCAGCCAGAGCTACATGGTGAGACCATTCCAAAAAAACAAAAAATAAACAAAAAAGATTTCAATTAGTATTGTCCCTTTCGAGCAGTGACTGTGAGAGTTGGGTTTCCTTTCTGATTCCATTGACTGTTAGTGTGGTGGGAACTGGAGCTGACTGAACACTGAATGCCTGTTTCACATTGACCCACTTGGAAACAGTGATTTTTATTGTTTGTTAATATTTGTTGCAGCTTTGTGTTCTATGTTTAGATGCTTTTTATGAGTTGTCACTGTTGGAAATTCTTAATGAAATACAGATTTTTTAAAAAGTTGTGGGCCTGGAGAGATGGCTCAGCGGTTAAGATCATTCTGGCTACTCTTACAGAAGACCCAGATTTGAACCCCAGCACCCATATGGAGGCTAACAACTGTCTGTAACTCCAGTTCCAGGGGATCTGACCCCCTCTTCTGCCCCCTGAGGGCATTGCATGATACAGGTGCACTTGCATACATGCAGGCATAACACTCATACACATAAAATAAATAAATACATAGTTTTTTTTGTTTTTTTTCTTTAAGTTGTGGGAATTCCAGGCAGGCTTGTTGATTTTTGACCACACATGGGTGAGTCTGCTGCTCCTTAACAAGAGTTGCCTGAACATAAGCGCACAGCTTGTGTGAGCACAAAGGCCTGATAGCCGCAGCCCACAGTTCAGAATAGAAAGGACTGTTCTTTAACTGAATGATATGCAAACACCTATCAATAGTAGGTGCCCCTTAGCTTGTTCCCACTCTCAGGGTAGGCTGGCATATGTATGTATGATTAAGAGGGCTGGCTATTGTTGCTAGGCAGATGGGGAAAGCGAGTCTATATACTTTTGTGGGGGTGGAGGTGGGGGAATTGAGACACGGTCTCCCTGTAGCCCCAGCTGGTCTGGAACTTGCTATGTAGACCAGGCTGGCTTTGATCTCACAGAGATCCGCCTGCCTGCCTGTGCCTCCTGAGTACTGAGATTAAAGGTGTATGCCACCACACCAGGCTACATATTTTATTTTATTTTTACATATTTGTGATTCTGTGATGGGCATTTGAGATTTAGATCGTGGCTCTGTGAACACTGTGCTTTGGCGTACATCAGCCTGAGTGTGGTGTTTGTGAACCATGGTAAGAGCCCTTTTCTAAACTCCTGCCCGAGAAAAGAAGCTAGCCTGTTTAGGCTAATATGGGTTATTTGAGGACTTTGTCTTTTTGAGACAGGGTCTCCCTGTAGCCCCACCTGGCCTCGAATTCACAGTGTAGACCAGGCTGACCTCCATCTTGCAGAGGTCTCTCCGCCTCTGCCTCCCAAGTGCTGGGATTCGAGGTGGGCACTACCAGGCATTTCTTAACCTTTCCTAAGGAATTAGACTATCCTATCTACTTTTCTGAATCCAAGGGTAGGAAGGGCAGGAGTGTCAGTTATCATAAATATAGCCTGTCATCAAGTATGGCTGCTTGCTGTCAGGAGGGATTTGCAGTGAATTTGCTTGGCCAGGGTGGGTGTGTTGTGTGGACAGGTCCTGTCACATATGTCCTGCTCTATGCTTTCTCTTCTCTGATCCTGATACTGGGAGGAGCTAGGCAAACTGGCTGCTGTAGAGCTTATCTGGATTGGATTCTCTTTTACCAAATGAAGTGTCTGTGGGATAAGGTAGAAGCAGAGAAATGGATTGTCAAGTAACAGGGTGTGGCACTGGCCCTGTCATTCCCTAGCTGTATAATCTTGAATAGGTCAGTTGACCTTTTATTTGTGAAAAGGAGAGGGATTGGATTAAAATGAACAGTTCCATCCCTGACCTATTAGGGAGTCACTGCATGCAAGAAGCTGTGTGCAGCTCTGGAAATGTGGTGATGCCCAAGGTCTGTGCAGCATGAATTTATACTCTATTGGGGGTGCACAGAAGAGCCTGGGAAAACCCTGCCCAGGCCGGCCATTCCAAAGGGATGTCTAAGTGAGACTTGGGGATTATGCAGGAGCTGGTGAGAGGTAGGTAGAAGGAAACAAGGCAAGCTCTTACTTGACTTTCTCATCCTAACATTCTAAAATTCTGCTGTTTTTCCCAAATTAGTTTCGCATCTTTGATAAAAAAAACAGATTCTGCCTGGTGTTAGCATCTGGTCCAGATGTTATATTTGCCTTAACATGCAGATAAAGAGGATTTAGGGAAACAAAAGAAAGGGGGAGTGAGTATTTTCTCCTGGATTATTTGCTTCTGATTATCAGGAAAGCAACAACACTGGGTTAAGGCTTGGTTAGCGTTGGAGGATTCACGAGGGTGTAGAAGAAGTCAGCCACCTGAAAAGTGGCACTTGTGGATTTAAAGTGCCATTTGAAAGGGGACCTCGAACTGTGTGTGCCAGTTAACCTTGGAGATAGTCTTCGAGGGGTGAGTCAGTCTCCATGGTGTCCTGGATGAGGTTGGGAGGTGGCAGTGTACTCATTACAGCTGCCTTCTCTGTTCCACCATGGCTCCAAAGCCACCCCAGGTTCCTTTTCTAAGGTTTTATCCACGTTTGCCTTTTTCCTCCCACCATTGAACACTCTTCCTGTGTCATAGGTCACACTTAGCCGGTATCAGCGAGAAACAGAACAGAGTAATGTGGCCCTTCAGAGAGAGGAAGACAGAGTGGAGCGGAAAGAGGCAGAAGTCGGGGAGTTGCAGAGGCGCCTGCTGGGGATGGAGACGGTAATGGTGAAGTTCTGGTTTCAGTGTCTAGCCCCGGGGCTGGAAGGTGCCTTTCCCTAGTAGCTCCAAAAGCACGCTTCTGCCCAGGATGTCCCTTTCAATTCCTTTTAGCCCTTTGGAAATGGAAAGTCTTGGAGCTGGGTATGGTGGCGGACACCTTTAAATCCCAGGAGAGGCTGGTGGATCTCTATGAGTTCAAGGCCAACCTGATCTACGTAGCAAGTTCAGGCCAGCTGGGGCTATGGGGAGACCCTGTCTCAAAAAGACCAAAAACCAAAACAAAACAAAGAAAAACCCCACAAAACAAGAAATGGAAGGTCTTTCTGTCATCCAACTTCAGTCTCCTTTCACTAGAAGTGAAACTCTTCCTATTTTAGACCTGTTCTTGGGTTTCTGAAGACTGTCCCTCAGCAGCCAGCCACTCACTGACCTGGTTTGTCCAGGATTGACTGCCAGAGCTGGCAGGTGGGATTGCACAACACAGGGCCTGGGTTTCCCTCCAGGCAGCTGGGTGAGGCTGGGAAGTTTCTGTATGCTGGAGTGGGAAGGGCTATCCCTGACAGGGGAGGGCACCCATCAAACCAGCCAGGCCTGCTGTTCTTTGGCAATAGTCCCAGAATCAGTAGGGGCTGTAGTACCCATCTCACCCCAGGCACAGGAGCTGCTGTTGACTGTTAATGCTACATGCCTTTCTTTTGGCCCACCCAGGAGCATCAAGCCTTACTGGCGAAAGTCAGGGAAGGGGAGATGGCCTTAGAAGAGCTTCGGAGCAAGAATGCTGACTGCCAAGCAGAACAAGAGAAGTAAGGGCCTTTGTGCACTGTAAAGTTGGGTTCAGGGAAGCGAGGGCGGGCTGTGCTGCCCACAGCCAGGTCTGGAAGGGAAGCTGGTGCTGACATGGGATCTTCCAGTTCTGACTCAAAGTGCTTGCTCAGGGTGGAGCCCTGTCCAGGGTGATATTTGGGAGGCTACCTTCTTAGAGCTCATTTTCCATGGGACAGTAACCTAGAGAAAAGGATTTTATGGTTTTAGAAAGGCTGGAAAATGGTCTAGTATCCGCTGCTGTAGCCTCTCTTCACAGAGCTCCACTGCATCTATCGCCACGCGTTCCTCCCCCTAAAGTGGAACGGACCACAGGCATCTGAGGTCAAATAGTTCCTCCAGTCTCACTGAAAACAGAATGAATGGCTTCATGAGGACTTCTTGTTACTCTAAGTAGTTCATATAGAAACTAAGAACCAGGGCTGGAGAGATAGCTCAGTGGTTAAGAGCACTGACTGCTCTTGCAGAGGACCCAGGTTCAATTCCCAGCACCCACAAGGTGGCTATGAACCGTCCTTAACCCCAGTTCCAGGGGAATCCGAAGCCCTCTTCTGACCTCCAGGGCACTGCATGACACAGGTTCACTCACATACATGCAGGAATACACTCATACACATAAAATAAAAATAATAAATAAAATATTTTTTAAAAAAAGAACTAAGAACCACCTGTCCTCAAAGGGGCTCATTAAGAGTTTTCTACCTCCAAAGTTAGAGGATTTGGCAAATTCTTCCTCATAAGAGGTGGTCAGAGGCTCCAGACCAATGGAACCAACACAGCAAAGCCTGCCTCCTGAATCTTCAAGACCATAGAAATTCCTCATTCCACAGCAATTAACAAATAAGATACTGAGCTGGGTGTGGTGGCGCATGCCTATAGTTCTACCACTTGGAAGGCTGAGGCAGGAGGATTGCTGCGAGTCAAGGCCAGACTGGACTACAGAGTAAAACCCTGTCTCTCACTACCTCCTGTCCTCCCTACCTTACTTTCTTCTTGCTGGGTAAAGTGGTAGTGGTGCATACCTGTTATCCTAGCTACTCAGAAGGCAGAGGCAGGTAGAGGCCTTCTGAGTTCCATGAGTCCAAAGCCAGCCTGGACAAGTTGGCAAGACTTTACCTCAAAAATAAGTAAATAATAAACAAACAAAAATCTCAGATAATAAGCCATAAAGGAGTAATGCCAGCATGGCTGGTCTGATCCCATTGTCTAAGGGACCTTTTTGTAATTGAAGAGACATTACCTGAAGGGCCTTCTAAAGAATTCTAAGACTAGCCAGATGTGGTGGTGCAGGCCTTTAATCCCAAGACTTAAGAGGCAGAAGCAGTGAATCTGTGAGTTCAAGGCCAGCCTGGTCTACATAGTGAGTTCCAGGCCAACTGGGACTACTGGGAGGCCAATCTCAAAAAGCCTTCCCTCCAAAAAGAATTCTAAGACTAGCAAACACAGAGTCCCTCTGTCTTCTGTGAGTGTTATCTCTTCTTTAGAATGACCTAATTTGACCTTCCTGGCTTGGAAAATATAAGTATCTTCTTTTGTAGCTTCTTTCTATTTGACTTCATATCCAAATTAAAATACATTTGGCCCTCTTCTGTGGGTTTCAGATTTGCAGATTGAACCAACTGAAGATTTAAAATGGTTGTGGGGGAAAAATGTCTACAGACCGATTTTTTTTTGTCCCGTTCTCCAAACAAACAATGTAACAGTTACTTATGTAACATTTATATTATATTAGGTACTCTAAGTAATCAAGAGGTAAAGTCTAAGGGAAGATGTGCATGCATAGGGCTTAAGCACTAGGGAGCAGGGCTTCTGTAACCATTCCCCCTTGGATACTGAGGGAAGGTACTCGGTATTGGTCCTCCCTCTTCTGGATGGGAGGTACTCATGGGCAGATCAAGAGAAGAACAAGAGAAACAAAGGATTCAGATTTGGAAATCATTTGACAGCCATGCATCCTGCATGCATATGTTCTAAATAAAAGGAAACAGAAGTGGAGCATTGGTGGACAGAGTGGAATCAGAATGTTTGCAGTTTAGGAGGAACGTTATAATGCGCCTTGCCCTGAGTACCACCCACCCGCCTTCCCAAAGCTCCTGCTTACTGGTTTCTTTAGGCAGAACTGGGAATAACTGGAACTGTGGCTCTTCAGGGACTGACTGACTAAAGGAAAACTGATCCTCTACTCCTAACACTCTGACACCGAGGGTACAGGTTTTCCCACCAATCAATTCTCTACTCTGTGGCCACTGATTGGGACTCCCACAATTTAATCAATTCTGACACTACCCAGAGTTAATGCAGACCCCATATGTGAAAGGTTCAATTCCACAAGACCACCCCCACTTTAGACGCCAGTTGAAATTAGAGTATCTAAGGGCACTCCTACTTTTTTCCCCCGCTTGTCTACAAATTTGGAGTGGGGATTCCCCAGTTGCCTTCTCAGATCTGATAATTTGTTACCTTACTTTCACTAGGTTCTTACAAAGGATTTAGATGAGGAGGTATAAAAGATGTGCTCCAGAGTGTACAGGAGCTGCTGCCCCAGGGAGTGGTGTGTACTGACCTCTTGGCATGCCATGTGCATTCCTGGACCAGAATTTGAAGCCTTTTTTTTAGGATTTTAGTGGATGTTCCATCATGCAGTCATGGTTGATTTCTCCTCCAGAGGTTGGAAAGGGGCTGGCATTTCCACCCTTTTAACTATACCTTGGATTTTCTGGCGGCTAGCCCAGATCCTGCAACTTTCTACAAACCCTAGTCAGCATTCACTTTCTTATCATACAGAAGACACTTATCACTCCTGGAGATTCCAAGCATCTTGTCAAGAGCTAGAAACCAGGGCCAACAAAGCATGCCTCTATCTCTCTTGTGCTTAGGAATCTATGAGGGTTAGAGGAACTCTGTGTCAGGAAATGAGGACAAAGACCAAATATTTCTTATTGAGTATTTTGACTTAATTTTCTTAGAATGTAAAGGAAGCACCAGTGGTTTGGGAGTCAGGATACTTAGAAACAATTGTGTGACAAGGCTTTAAGTATCTTCAGATCTTATCTCTTGTGATATAAAATCCAGGGGCATGGTGGCAGATCCCTTTAATTCCAACCTGTGGGAGGCAGAGGCAAGTGAGTTCTGCCTGGTCTACATAGTTCCAGGCCAGCCAGGGATACACAGAATGTATCTCAAAAGAAGAAAAAAAAATCTTTGCTAATAGCTTGATGGTTTGGGATATAATTCTAGTTCCTACTTGAATCTTTGAGTAATAACAAGCTCATCATATTCAAGGCAGCCAACTTTCTTCCAGCTTTAATACCGAAATTTTTTTCCTCTGTTATAAAAACTACCTCCCTTAAATATCTATGTATTCTAATTTTACCCTCTAGAGAGATACAGAATGACTTATAGTGTCTCTCTTTTCATTGTACCAGGTGACTTCTGTGATGTTCTTGGATGTTGGATACTTGTTCTTCAGGGCAAATCACTGGGATAGAGGGACTCACACACTTGGCAAGTGTGATTGGGACAGCCTTTCCCTTGGCCTCAGCCCCTGGTCTTTATCCTCTAGGGCTGCTGCTCTGGAAAAGGAAGTGTCTGGGTTGCGGGAGAAGATCCACCACTTGGATGACATGCTCAAGAGCCAGCAACGGAAAGTTCGGCAAATGATAGAGCAGGTACACAGGGTCACATCTTAGCTGCCCTGGGCATTGCCCCAACTCTGTGCTGCCCTGAGTATTGTCCCAGCTCTGTGCTTTTATTTATTTATTCTTCTAGGCAACTTGGTTTATAATGTTTTCCAAAAAACATTTGTAGCTGCCAATTGCTAGAGTTTGAGCTATTGGTATTGCTTTTCCTGTCTTTCATGGACATTTTTGACCATTTAGCTTCTACTTTCCCATTGGAAAAGAGATTAGTCTCCCTTACACTCTGAACTGTGCTGGTAAATGAGTCATAATATACTCAGTTGTCTGTGTGAAGATTATCAGGCTTTGTGCCTCCTGCAGATTCCTGCCTAGCTATTCTACCTGAACCTCAGAGTAGCTCATTCAGAATGTGATGATTTACAAAACTGTTTTGAGAATCTAAGACCCCCTAAGTGGGAGGGCTCATTTCCTTCATGTAAGCTCCATGTGTATGTGTTTTGTTTCCTGCCATTTCCCATGGTTTATAACAGGATCTGTAATATAGTAAGCACTCAATAAATATTTACTAGATGAGTGAATAATTAGTTTATACTTTCCAGAACCAAAAGGAATGGGTTTTGAATCATGTTATGTATTTTGGATTTATGAGGATGATATTCCCTCTCACTGTACTACACCTGCTTTGGAGTTCAGTATTGACTAAAATAAAGCTTTTAGGAATGATAGTAGAACCATGAGAGTGGCAGAGGTCTCCTTTCTTCTCTGCAGGCTTCCCCAGTGGCTAAGGTTGTTTGGTTTGGTATGTAATGTGTCTCTGCAAAATAAACTCCAGTGTCTTTTACATCTTTACAGCTCCAGAATTCGAAAGCTGTGATCCAGTCAAAGGATGCCACCATCCAAGAGCTCAAGGAGAAAATTGCCTATCTGGAGGCAGAGGTTTGTATATGGGACAGCCCCAATCAGGAACAGGGCTGTTGAGAAGCCTGGGCACAGGGAGGGGCCAATCATGGAGAGGCTCTCGATCCTGTCTAGCAGCTGCTTGGAAGTGAATATCTGAAATGGTTGTGCCATGGTTAGTTGAGTTGAGCAAACATTTTACTGAGAACTTTGAGGGAGCTGCTGACAATGGTAAGACCTGCGTTTGCCCACATTACACACTCAACCAAACATCAATAGTATCATGGTGCAAGCTACCTACCATGGATATTTTGGCCCTATGAGCTTTACAGATTTGCTGACAGTGGAGCCAGGCTTTGAAAGAGGATGAGACATTGTATAGTTGGCATCTCTCCATGGCATAGATAATGGGCTGAATAGCTACTGAGTTGACTTCTAGCCTGATTTTTGCTTTGCTGCAGAGCCCTTCCTGTCTGTTGGCACCTGTAGATCACTTTGCAAGCCACTGTGTGAAGATTCCTGTAATATGGGAGACAAGGTGTTTAGAGAGTTTGTGGTCTAGAGTTAGAGATAAAATACATTGAAAAAAACCCCACAAATATTTAATAGGACAGCACATTGACAAAGGCATGTGAGTATCTCAGTAAAGACAGAAACTACACACAGGACATACGTGTAGAGAAAGTACCAGAACAGTCAGCATTGCAGTGATTGAGGAGCAGGCATTAGAGGAAGAGAGCACTCTGTTATGATGAAGATAAAGGAAAGGTCATCTCTGGGTGCTGGTATGCATGGTAGAGATGGGGGCAACAGCAGCATAAATGCAGAGATAGGAAGACCAGAAGGAGCCAGGTAAATGGGACACATGGCAAGTCCGAAAACAGCTCATTGTAACACCATAGCTTGTGTTATAGAATTTAGAGATGCACGACCGGATGGAGCACTTGATAGAGAAGCAGATCAGTCATGGGAATTTCAGCACCCAGACCCGGGCCAAGACAGAGAACCTGGGCAGGTGAGTGTGTGTGTAGAGTGGGCCCGAGCAAGAAGAGAAGAGGGAAAGGCTTTGTGAAACCTATAGTGCTAAGATAAGGATAAGGCTTTCAAATCCAACTCTCCACCCTCAATCTCTGATTTGTGTTAAATATGCTATTTCCTAGCCTGCTTAGAGTAAAGCCTGATACCATCAACCCAGGAGGACCCTGCATGGCTTCTGTTGCATACAACAGATTTGCCTATCTTTACAGAGGTTCCTTTTTAGGAGATTCACAAATCTTGAAAAAACTCACGAATCTCTGTTATCTTTACTTCCTGGTTTTTCCACTAGCCCTGTCTTTATCACCATCGCCACCAAAGGTTCTCCTCAGAGTTACTGAGCATCATCATTGTTGCAGAGCTCCGAGAACTCAGGAGGTAGCCAGCACTGAAGTATAGGATTCCAGAGGCACATGTGGCAGGGAGGCTGTCAGAGGTGCTGGATAGCAGCATAGTGCTATTTACAACTTTCTTTCCAGCGTCAGGATATCCAAGCCCCCCAGCCCTAAGCCTTTGCCTCTTATTCGAGTGGTGGAAACCTGAGCTGCCAGGAGATGGATGCCGCCATTGCTGCCGTCTATGTCCTACAGAGAAGCCCATCACCCTTGTAGGCTGTTGATACTGACTCTGACTTGCTGACTGTACCCTGGTTGCTCCAGGTCTTGGATTCATGTCCTAAGCACCTATTCTCTGCTTGCTGGGCAGATGGAGCATGCCCATCTCCGCGGACACCACAGCCCTTGGGAAGACATTTTCTTGCTAGCAGGAGCAGGGCAATATCCTTATTCCCATTACTGTTTTTCTGTGTAACAGAGCTTCCCCTCTGTGTACACTGGAGTCTAGCTGCCCAAGAAGCCAGGCCTTCATCAGGTCCAGAGAAGTGATAAAATTTGTCTCAGCCCAAAAAGCTGGAAGCACAGATGTACAGTGATTGGAGTGTGTCCTGGGGGAATGAAGTTCCTTCTGCAAACAGCTCTGTTCTTAGCAACAAACTGTTTGTTTTTCTGCTTGCTCCACCCCTGCCCCATGCTAACCTGGGCCTCCTATGGATAACCAGTGGGGGCTACCTGCTGGGCCTGGTCTGAGCAAGTAAACTGGACAAAGGAGTGGCCATGCAAGGAGTAGCTTTTAGCAGGGTGGGTTCTCTAGGCCCATGTTCACATGTCCTCTCTCTGCTGTGAAAACTCCGAGTCTCTTTTGGTTTTCCCCTGCAGCGTACCGACAGGCACACCTGTCTTCCTAACCCAGAGCTGAGAACTGTTTTCAGCGAGTTACATCAGTCCCAGCAAATTCCTTACTGTATTTATTTTGCTAAGTTATTGCTGGTTTTGCTTACATCCTAATTAATCTAGTTCCAGTGCTCTGCAGCCTTCCCCTGAGGTACTGGGTGGAGTGTCCTCATGGGCCTTGCTGATTTCAGAGTGACATTGTGCTAGTGCTTCCTCTGCCTATCCTCTGCTTCTGTTCACTCCTCCTCCAAAGTTGATATGTACCTCAGGAGGCTAATGTCTGTCATTGAGTGTGTGTTGTTTGGGGAAGGGGGGAATCAGGACTGCTGGGGACAAGGGTGGGTTCTTCCCCTAACCACTCTGAACCCCTCTGCTCCAAAGTAGGTCTTTATTCTAGCTCCGAATGATCCTGCAGCTCATCATGTTTTCTGTCGTATGGCTGTAGTCTTAGATCTACTTGGCTCACAACCTGAAGCCTTAAATCTGTTCCTGTGTGTCAGGACTGGCCCTGGCTTTGTCTGTATGGTATTCTAAGACTTTAGGCAGTCTCCTTATTTGCAAAATGAGGAGGCTGAGACAGATGATCTCCATATCCCTTCAAACTCTTGTTTTTAGTTTTCCTGTGACATAATCTTTGTATGGTGACTTTAATAAATTATGTTAATGTGTCTCTTTGATCTCTTGACCTGGTTTCCTTTTACTTTTTGGAGGGGATGAAAGAACATATGGTCTCTTGAAGGTGGGTACCCTATGTCAACATTTGAAGGGTATGTTCTCACTGTCCCAGATTGTGACATGAGGATGTCATGACATGCAGTTACAAGCAGCCCAGCTCCATGGTCTGAGTCTCTATTGTAGGTGTTGGTCTCCAACCATAGCTTTGACCCTGTCTGGGGCAGTGGGATTTCTCAGCTTGGCCATTTGGCCCTCATTTGGAACAGTACCAGTCAGAGATGCTGGTCCTAAGACTGCATAGAAGGAGCCAGTCAGCACCAGAGGTAGATGAGCAGCTTGGATCCTTTGCAGAAATCAAAAGCACCCTGGAAATGATGCAACTGTCCATGGGTTTATTTTCTGGGTCTCGTTCAATTAGTACAATGATTTTTTTTTTCCCTCTTTCTGCCAAAAAGCTAGCTGACTGCAGGGCCAGACAAGGCATAGCTGAATCTACACAAACTCCCCTGGGCCAAACCAGAAAGCACCATCTTTATTGCCAGACCCTGTCTCATTTCTAGTTTCCCTTTCTCCTTCCATTCAGAGTATAAATTCTTCCCAACTCCTGCTTCTGAACTAATTCATCCTACAGGCATCGAAATGCATCAGAAACCTTCCTCTCCAGACCTGGATTTGTCTCCTGACACCCAAGGTTTCTCCTCTTCCCCTGGCAGTCTTGCTTGGCATGGATCTATCTAGACAGTGCTTTTTTTCAGGGTGGAAGCAGGGCGGGGTTGGCGAGGGTGCCAAGAAGACTGGCCTAGCTGGAGGATGCAGGAGTGAGTGTGCTGCCCTGCAGGAAAGGGAGGCTCTGTGGGAGGGGCAGAGATGTGGGTTGGAGATAGGAAGTGGGCAGGAGACACTCTGAAGACCAGCAGCAAGGCGCTAAGAGATTCTTCAGACCAAAAAAAAAAAAGTGTCTCTGGTGTCTGCTTCTGAGTTTAGTTATATCCCTTTTGGAAGGAGAGGGGGCTTGCCACAGGGGGGCGTATGCTACAAGGAAGTAGCTGGAGAAAACAAGTTAGTATCTTGGCAATCTTTCCAATTAGAGATGGAGGATGGAGACTGCCAAGGAGAAAGTGCTCAAGACCTCAGAAAGGGTGTGGTGAGCAAGCTCCCGGCTCCAGCTGCCTTTTATTGCCTGCATTTTTGATATTTTAAGTCAGCTCCTGTGTGCTACTGTGGTATTTTGTGGAGGGAGGGTTGAGTTCTACCTCTCTGGGACCTTTGCCATGAGAGCCTGCTTCTCTGATCTGGGTGTTAAGAGGTGCCCAGACATGCAGCCAGCCTCCCATAAACCTGGAATGTCAGAGCTGACGTGGGAAAAGCAGCTCTGGGGAGTCCTTGTTCCTTGCCTCCCCAACAACTGCTCATGTTCCATTTCTTCATTTTCCCTTCCCCTGAGCAGAAATGAGCTTGGGCAGTGACATATTGTTTCAACCAAATGGTACATTGGAACTTTGTAGTCCAACCTGGTGGCACAGGTTGTTAGTCTCAGCTACATTGGAGATGAGGCAAGAAGATCACAAGTTTAAGATCAGCCTGGTCAACTTAGTGAGACCCTCTGTCAAAATAAAAGCTTAGTGACAGAGCACTGAATTTAAATCCCTGCTCTGCAAAACAGAAACCAAGTTTCTAGTACACATTATAATCCTAGCACTTAGGATGCAGAAGCAAGAGAATCTAAAGTTCAAGGTCAGCCTGGTCTACATAGCAAGTTCTAGACTAACTAAGGCTACATAGTGAGAACCTGTTTCAAAAACAAAAACAAAATAAAAGCTTAGTGACAGAGCACTGAATTTAAATCCCTGCTCTGCAAAACAGAAACCAAGTTTCTAGTACACATTATAATCCTAGCACTTAGGATGCAGAAGCAAGAGAATCTAAAGTTCAAGGTCAGCCTGGTCTACATAGCAAGTTCTAGACTAACTAAGGCTACATAGTGAGAACCTGTTTCAAAAACAAAAACTAAGGGGCTGGAGAGATGGCTCAGCAGTTAAGAGCACTGACTGCTCTTGCAGAGGACCTGGGTTCGATTCCCAGCACCC